TGCTGAAATCAGCTCCAGTTGGGGAAAAGGTAATTCTGGCAGGGGGAGATGGTGACCATTGACCCAAGAAACCTACTGACTTAAGAGAAAGACTGAATGTGCAGACTAATTAGCATGAGAAGTGAGAGAATCATTAACCAATAGAAGATAGAATACTAATTAATAGACAACTATGTAACTTGTAGCCAATAAACACTAATTCCTTTGTTTGCTAAAGTGCATAAGTAGTAAAGAGGTTGGTTTGTGGAATACCACTGAGCACCCAGGCTTGTGCAACTCTCAAATAATCAATGTCTCTCTCGGGTGTGTAATTATTGGCTTGTTGCACACCAGGTAACAAATCAATTTTTGTGAAGAATATAAGCTACATTTTAGAAATACGTGTCATTATTCACATAACTTTGCAGAGATGGAAGTAGGGGCTGCTGTGCGAGTGCTATCTTGCAGTAGGAACTGTAGGCTTGATAAAGTAAATTAATGTAAATTAAATTAGTAATACTGGATAAAGTAAACTAAATTAATAATAAACATGCAGGTTCCACCTGAGTGCGTGAAAAAAGGTTGGACTCTTAGAATTTTATAAGACGAATTTGGGGTTGGTATTTTTGTTTGTTTTTTTTTTTTATTTTAATTGAAAGTAATTAGCTCACATGTAAGAAAGCTGCTTTCTTCCCTAGTTCAGCTCTAGAGCTGTGTTTCCCATGCTTGCAGTTGGTCATCATGTCATGAAGATGAGTTCCTTCTTTGTTTCTTTTTAGATTAAAGGATTAGTGTCATGTTTCCTGTCTTGCCCAATGAGCCTGGTTTTCCGTTTTCTCTTCAAATGGCACGACTTCAAGTACCAAAAGTGCCTGACCTTTACTGCAGCCATCATCCAAGAGCAAGATGTTAGCCTAATGATCAGAGCACACTTCAGAGAGGTCTGCGTTTAGCTGCATTTGGCCAAGGAAGGAATTAGGCCAAATTTCGTACCTCTGACCAAGGATTAATACCATTTTGTAAATCAGAGCACTATCACCTTGGTGTTCTTCCCTGTTAGGTGACTCAAGCAGAGGACAATGACCTGTCCTGACTTCCTTCTGCAAATTCTGCATGGAACAGAGAGCACTGGCAATTCCCTCTGTAGGGAAGTACTTCTTAAGACAAGACAGTGGCTTCAAGTAACTTCCTGATCAGCTCACTAGTTTCTTTGAATTTCATTTTGAGGTGTGCAGGCATGCACTGTGTTAGGAGCTTAAGCATGAAAATGGATTTCTGGATTGCAGACTCACTCAAACCTCATTCATATCAAACCTAAATTCTGTCTCTGTACAAATGGTCACTGAGTTTGAGTGTTCTCTGAGCTGGCCAGATGTCAGGGAACATCTGTGTGATGGCATGGTGTGTTACAGCATTAGTGCCTGGCAAGGGAAGAGCAGATCCTTACAGACAGAGAGGGAGGAGAGGACAGGACAGCTGCATTTCATGACTGTGCAAACTTAGATTGCCTTCAGGTGCTTTTGAAACCACAGGTACAGGCTTTAGGTATTTTGAGGGAGAAGCATTGCTCTATTTTTAGATGAAATAGCATCACCACTCCAGTTAAGTAGTCTTGCTACAAAACACTGCTATATTTAGAAGTCAGTCATCTCCTTAATGCAAGAACAATATATTATAAAAAAGGTCACATTGCACTTCTCCATTCTGTTAGTACTGTGAGTTTTGTGCTAGACCACTTTATTCCTCTTTAATTACAATACACATGAATGTACATCTTCACTATGTAATTATGGCCTCCATTTCCATCAATATTTGTCTCAAGTGGACCTATAAAGACTATTCCACTGATTTTCAGAGTCACCGTTAGCTCTGAGCTCATCCAGGGGCTCTGAATCGCAGATAAGGAAATGCATACTGGTACATGAAATTAGAATGCATATTGGTACATACCAATGCATATTGGTACATAAAATTAATACCCTGCATTGTCCTGCCCACTCCTTTTCAAGGAATCCATTCCCTTGTTGGGATTGGATTGGACAGCTGATGATGGATTTACAGCATGCAATCTGCACATTGGCAAGCGCTGTGAGACTCACATTTCTGAGGGGAAAGCACACTTGCAACACACTTTCACATCTCATTTTCATAGGTCTAAATAAAGAACCAATTCATAAAAAGACATACCTCATTGTAAAGTAGTGTGGATCGAAGTCAGGCACGGATAGCTGGGACACAGGACAAGGAGTCTTAAGGCACTGAGACCAGTAAAATCAGGGTAGGGTTACCCTGGATCATGACCTGCTTCATTGCATGTGCCTGTGAACTTCATTGGTCACCTCTGGATACACATTTGCTAGTGGGAAGAGAAATCTGTTGTTACCAACTTTTGGCTTTGGAATTTGATTATGCATAAATAAAAGCAGGTGTTCCCCAAGATAGATGGTTTATCAATGTTTTCATCTGTTCAAGAGTTGCAAATTACTATTTTTCCTTTCAAATTTCTTCTTCCTTCACATTTGCATGGATATATGCTTTCAGTGAGCAAAGGCTATGTGTATGGTATCAGAAATAAAACTCTGAACTGAGTAGAAATATGTTACAGAACACACAGAAACATGTCCTTTTAGTCTTTATGCCTTTAAAAAGCTAATCTGAAATGAACACTGAAATGTCAGGAGATAAGAAACACCATCAGCACGAGGATATGTAAGCACTTTGGAGATGCAGAAAATAATTTGGCGTGAGGTTTAGACATTTCAAATGTCAGGGTTGAACACTGTGAGTACTATAATCTTGTTACTTCTTCAGAATGGCACACATGAATAGCCAAAAAGAAATCAAAGCTAAATTTCTAAATTTTAAAAATATAATTTATTGTGTGTCAAAGAACATACATGATGTTAATTAAGTGAGGGGAATTCGTATTTGATGTCTTATGTTGCCTGTCTTTGCAGTGTTCCAAGCTGTGCTTAGCCTGTGCTGCAATATAATATACACAGTGGCATTGCACAGAGCAGGTGGGATCCACAGGCCTCAACACAGACAAATCAGGCAGTCTTGGCAGCAGTTTTCCTGGTATTTGTCATTTGGCTGTAATAAGACAGATTTGCTGTAACACTTTCAGGTGTACAGTAACAGGAACAGATTGGTTACTAGTTTGAATGATTTTAGTGGTGCGTCCAATGCAAATAAAGCAATTTACCAAACAATCTGTGAGTAAAAAGATTCAGAGCTTTGCATCAGCTTTGTCATTTGTGGATCTAATTGCTTGGCAGAGCTCTATTTAAAAGCAACATTATAGGTATAGATATTTACTTCGTATTTCCTATCTAGTTTGAAAAATTTGTCACAGCAGCAGAATAATGGCGTTATTCTGCAATTGTTTGGTTTTAAAACTATAGACAAATATTCTATTTGTAGGAATAAACAGTTTGGTATTCAGTAGTTCATCTAGAATATGAAATTGGTCTGAAGGAGGACCACTTCCAAAGTGAGCTTATGTCTCTAAGCAACTTGAATTGTAACATGTAATTTAGAAGCACTTTAAAAATCTAATTCATGTGAGGCAGTCCATCATTATGTGGAGATGATTCACTTGATTTGCTTTTATAGATGATTAGATTATTGGTACTAGTAATTCCATTGGCTCTGTCTGTGTTGCCCTATGTAATATTAGGGTGCTGCCCCACCCAGTTTACTGTCCTAGCTTGGAGCTGGCAGCTCCTGGTGCCACCTACCCTGGAAGGAAGTCTGTGATTTAATCTCTGTATGGTAAAAGATTCCCAGTGTCAGAGCTTAGCAAAGGCTTTCTAAATCAGCACTGGTATGAGAAGATTGCTGCTTGGCTGGTCTGGCGTGACCAACACCTAGTTCCAGAACAACGTCAGGAAATTAAAGGAGGTCAGAACAAGCCAAGAATAGCAAGTTGTGCTCAGGGGCTTTGCAGGGGGAAGCATTCTTGCCTGAGGTATGGTGTTTTCTGGGAGGATTTTAGCAGGGAAGTGCACACCTGTGACATGATGCTGCATGTAGTGGGAAGAACAGGGAGGGGATCTCATTGTCTAGTGAGTGGTACAGGAGAACCTGATTTGTCACAGTTTTCCTTTTAGGCAATGGTATATGTCAAGCAGCCTCTGGAGTTGCCAGCCTCATTCCTAGTCTCTGACTCAGTCATTCAATATTCTTGTAGCTTGACTTCATTTCTGCAAGACTGCTGTTTCTGTAATTGTCAGAGGGGTAGGATGAGAAGTGGGGAGGGAGAGAGAGGAGCCTGGAGCCTGCAGTCTGCAGTGCCAACTGTGGGGCTTCTATGCCAGATGGTATTTCCCCATCTGAGGTCAGGACAGCATGTGGGATTCAGCAGTCCTGGCGTGCCAGAGACACATCGCATGCATTTCGTGTCCCATGATGGGCACCATGATTATTGTGAGGTGTCATTCCATCCTGTTCTATGGTCTGTGTGATCATTGCAGGCAATTAATTCATGGATATCAGCTCCTGATTTAGAATGGTGTTAAAATGCATGCATAACTTTAAATGTGGCTACTCAGTTAGTTTCTTTGGGCCCTATGAGAGGCTTTGTTTGCTTTTCTAACAGCAAACTCTGCTATGCAGAGTAGTAGGTTCCTATTCAATGAAAAGGTAAGGGAGCTTAAGCAAATACTGTTTTAACTTATGCTTAAAGAATATGGTCATTTTAAAGTGGCATAAGTTTAAAAAATTAAGCAGAACTTTAAATAACTGTGATCTGCTTCTGTTTGCAAATGAGCTATCAAAAACCCCCTAGCTTCTTTTCAGTACAATTTTTAGTGCTTTTACCCTAAAACTCTAATGCCAAATAATCACATTTGGAACTGATCTGTGTGTTCTACAAACTAATTTTCTTATCACTCTGGTTCATTTCAGCAATCTAGTTGTTCTTAAACTAATTGTATTGAAAAATAAGGACTTGATTGAAAAGAAGCTAAAATCCCTTCTTGTACCTTGCTTTTTAGGCTCAAACCTTTTTTTATAGAGAGCCTCTCCTACTGCCCAGAAGGAAAATTTCTTCCCAGTTGCTCACCTAATTGTGTATCTTGTCTACAATCAGAAAGCTTCACTGGCTCTGTAAGTCCATCCAGTGGCTGCATATGGGAATTGCATATTTTTGAGGGTAAATTCCAAATTTGTACAATTTAGCTTATTAAGTAGTGTAGTTAATGTTATTACTGGAAATAAACGTGAACTGAAATGTACAACTGGAATACTCCCAGCCTTTGCTGATAAGTAGATCTGTATCTCTAAAGTACCCTTTGGGTAATACTGGGAATTGATTTGTTATTCCAGAAACAGGGACAAGATAAAAGTTGATGATTATTTATTTGTATTTAAATTAATTACCTCCTAGAGTGAGGAACAGAAACCTTCTGAGTGAAAAGTTTTAGCTTATTTTCATTCTGAACCTGAGACAGCTGAGGTCATTGTGAATGCTAGGCTAGCTCTTGTGAGTCATCCTCTTAGATCTCATGCTTGTGTTCATACTAAAGCAAACCTCTGTGAAGTTACATCTTCTAATTATTAAGTATGGTTTTTTTGTCAAATGGCATGAGATACTACAAAAAGTCATTAAAAACTGAATGTAAAGAGGACAAGATCCGAACGGTGTGTACCTGAAGTCACATTAAGAATTTATACACAGACTATTTCCAGAAAATCCTGCTTAAGTTCAGTACTGAATCTTGATGGGTCATCAGACTAAATCAGGCCAGCTGATTGTTTGAGAATCTATCATTAGATGTAGCATTTCCCCTTGATGATGACAGCAATTTGAGCCTCAGTGCCTTGAGCCCTAATTCTAACATCATTTCCATTATTGCTGCCAGTGCTGAAGTTGTAACTGTAGAGAATATCAGTGGAATACTTTTACCAGTTAGAAAAAGCCCATTTGCTAAAAGCCTTTTAATTCTCTGTTCTTGGCAAATAAGGGCTTCCAAAATGTTCACCATCATTACTATCTTTTTTCTTCCCATGAAAGTAAATGTATCTTTAATTTTGCCTTCTAGAGTGAATACATTATGATATAGCTTACAATTACATGATAGCCTATAATTTGTCCAGCCCTGCTTCAGTTAGTGCGTAGGTTGTGGAGGCATAAAAAGGCATAAAGAGAGAATGACTTTTGTAACACCAGCCTAAATCTAGTGCTTTTAAAAAAATTAAGAGCTTCATTTTTCTATCTCTATAAATAAATTTTACCCTAGAAAGTTGCAGAAGTGTGTCTTAGATACTGTCATGGCAGGTACTTTGTGCATGTAGAAACAATCACGCAGTACCTATTGCCTGCTGTGGTACAACAGTTGCCTTTATAATTCTTTCCAGTGTTTTATACATTTCAAATCTTAATTATTTTCGGTCTAGAATTGCCACTACTGAGGTTGCTATGGTTGTAAACTCCAGCAGTTTCTCTCCAGCAAGATATCTAGTTTTAGTAATAGAGTTTTAAATTAGAATATTACAATTCCTTCTTGCTACAGTGATTACTATAAAATAGATAATGTCAATGTGTTGTGGATATAATGCAACTCAATCTGCTACAGAAACTCTGCTTTCAGGTTTGGTTTTCTTTTCTTTGTTTGTTTTTAACTAGGGCTGCAATAAATATATACCTTCTTTGTTAGCCTAAGTACTCCCCAGACCTGAAAACATAGAGCCTTCATGGAACTTTAAGTTAAAATGAGATGGCTTTGGAAAATGAATGCAGAAAGCATTCAACTTATCTCTGGAACCCATTCTAGCAGTTTTTTGCATGGTTCTCACTTCACGAAGTTGGCTGATATCTTATGAATTCACTTTCCTCTGTAAGGGTATAGAGCTGGGTGATATAGAACCACTGAATGAACTCCTGACTCTCCTTTCTCTGTAAGCTGTGAGTCTCAGTGTATTTTAGTTGGAGCACAACATAGGTTTCCCTGCTGTGTACTTGATCTTTCCTCAAAAGCTGTTGTTATAACACTGCCTTTGTCCTCTCCTTCCTTCTGAGTACAACCAGAGGATCACTTGGTTATTTTATTTTACTTGCATTTGCCAGCGTTAGGATTTTATTATTCGTGTGTCAGTTATGACTATATCATTTACCAGAACCAAAAAGACTCCACTTCTTAGTACAGTACAATAGCTACAAATCTTTCCAGAGGCATCCAGTAAATTATTTTGGTTTTGTTTGTTCCATTAAATATATAGGAAACTATTTTCCTCTAGTAATTTATTATTCTTCATGAAAAGACAAGGAATAAATACAATGTATTTCTGATTTGTTCTGAGCTCTTTACTGGAGATAAACTGGTTCTTAATTATTGCAGTTTGGAGGTAGTACCAAGTGGTGTGTTTGCTCCTGTATGGTCCTAGTCTTCCCTTGAATTAATCTTTTGACAAAACTGGAAGACTTTTGGGTATCCACCCAGTCCTAAGAACTGTTTACTCTCCCATAATCCTGCCTTCAGAAATTGATAACTGACAACTGTTTGGTGAAAGATTAAACAACAGATGATTTTCATGTTCTTGTAATTTCTATACAGTTTCTTAATTTTACTGTAGTAAAAAAAATCCATATAGCAAAGACTGCCAGTCATGTCACCCTTCTCATTTTAGAAGTGTGTAGTTTAGGATCACAAAATGTTTTGCATGTTTACATAACTGGTTATTTTTGCATCCCTGCTCTGAGGACTGTACCATAATACGCTCATTTTACAGTTGAAGGAAGTGTGGCAGAGAGCAGTGACTTGTTTCAGGGCACACATCAAGAGTGGTGTAGGCTCAGTCATCCCAATTCCCACTTATAGTGAACGCTACTTCATTCTTCACACCACAAAAACTACAACTTAAAAAAATATAAATTTTTTTTTTTAAAATTGCCCTGTAGCTCCTTTCTTGGGACAGGATTTTCAGAACCTGAATTCTGGCACCCGGATGTGCCTAATCGTAATGCTTTAGTAGTCTTTTTTGTGGATAACTTTGTGCCTTTCAAAGAGCACCTGGATACAGCTAGAAGCCCAAGGAACTAAGCTAGCTTTGAAGCAGAAGGGCTGGTTGCAATGGAAAGGAGTGGGATTATTTTAACTAAGCAGTGTTTTAATATGTGAACAATCTAGAAAAATCTTATTCCTAACAAATTACAAAAACAGTCCAGTGGCATTTAATTTATTCCTGTTATAAGCCCCAGTTTACCTCTGAAGAGGTGTTAAGAGAAACTGTTCTGTCAAGCCCATTTAATAACAAGCTTTTATTCAACATGAGTAATACTGAACTCTTTTATGAATAAGATTAGAAAATTATTCTATTTTTATGTGAGGGAAATAAATTAATAAAGAAAACCAGCACTGTTTGTGCGCAAACGAAATGTTCTTATCATCTCTGAAGTGACTCTCAAGTTACTTGTATCTTGTCAGCCTCATTTTTCAATAGTTTTGTTTTTATGGGTAATATTTAGCAGGCAGCTCCTATAGTTTTTGCTACATGATAAATGTTTTTGTCCAGGACATTCTCAAACCTGACTGGAGTGTGAGTGCTAGCATAGGCAGCTCCTTGTCAGCATGCAAGGGATCCATAGTGGCTGTTGTGCATTCGTTGGGTAGGTCACCCATGTAGAGAGTAAATGGAAGGAAACTGTAAATTACAGGGTTATAAATACATGAAGAGTCTCTTGAGCAAAGATTGAGTGGTTTCTGATGTCAGCAGAACCCTGAGATGAATTTAGTGTCCTGCTTGGTTTTGCTGTTTTTCTACTCCCTGTGAAGCAGGGCTCCTTTATAAAGAGAAGAGAAAGCCAATGGTATTTAATGGAGAAATCAAACTTAGACACTTAAATGATAACCATAAACATTTACAGGATGTCCTGTTCTGTCGTGGCCACAGACAGATGCTTAAAATTGTGTCCCATGGATGTAGCTAAAATGGGAATTCTGAACCTATTCAATATAATCCATTTCATTTACTGGCTGTAATTCTGTGGTAAGTGGATATTAAAAAGAACAATCTTGGACTTTAAAATACTGTTGGTGTAGAAATTGAAGTATAAAACCAGAAAACTTGTTAGTACAGTACAGATTTAAGCAGGCAGGTTAGGAAGATAATGAATACATATTATGTAATAAAGAATAACAGGATTATCTATTTTCATGGCAGTGCGACACAAAATAATTCTAAAGACTAAGAATCTAAGATTTTCATACAATCAGTGGTAATCAAGAAGGAATAATCTCAGTCAATGATATTCAGAAAAACAGAAACTGAAATTTGTTCCTGAAAAATTATCCATAGGCTTCAGTAATAAAAAATGGTATATTTTGCAAATTGCCAGATTTTGCAAAGTGCAGATTACTCTGAAACCTGTAGACAGAATCAGTGTGGCAATGCCCAACTGTATTTGCTTCTGACCCAGAGAAGGAAGAGTTGTGGTCTGAATGAAAAAGACAAAATAACAGCATGTCCTGTGTATGGGTCAAAGCTTTCAGGCTTAAATTCAGTCACAGCAAATAATAACCTTGTTTCTCTAGAAATATCTATTTTTCACATTGTGCAGCATAGTAATCCTAATAAATCAGTTGTGATCATTTTGAAGGGTGTTGCATATTTCCTGTAGTTAGTCTGAAGGAGCTTTAGGCTTGTAAACAGCATAATTTGTTTCAGAGGTTAAACGTCTAGACCAAAACCTCAGTGTCTGCCTGGATCAAAAGCCAGTCAGTCTATGAAAGAGTGAAGACCTCTAGGCTGAATTACCTTTGTGGCATTGCTAAAATGCAAGGTATGTCTTATCAGAGGATATTTATTTCAATTAATACAATAATCTATCAAAATCCCATAACATGTTCCTACCTCAAATCTGAAAAATTAAATAAGGATAACTACCATTATGAGGATGTGGTTATCCTGTACCACCATCCTTCCCTAGCCTTTGTAAAGTTCTGAGAAATTACAAAATATTTTGTAATACTGTTACTAAAATATAGTGCCCTGGCAAAAATCAGAGGCACTGTGGCTCAGCTGTGATTTCCAGGTGTATAGGGAATAAACTAGAGGTTGTGGGATAATTTGAGATGTTTTCTTTATGTCAGATTCTCTGTTGTGGCAACAAAAATACTCACTAGATTCAGGCTAAAATGTGAATTAGTACTGAAAGTAATTACTTCTGTGTGACTACACAGTTCCTTCTTCTGACACTAAATTTATCTCAGGCTTTTAGGAAGTCTACAGGCATTGAGAATTATATTGAACATATTCCATGTGTGCAAAAGAGAAATATTTCAGCCTCAGATGGGATATAACATTTAATATTTCCACTTCTACCCTAGACAATAGTTCTATAAAATTTCTCATAGTTTAATAAAGTTCCTTATTCTAAATGCAGGTGTTTTCTTACAGCAATCCTGAAGGCAAAAATACCATTCCTTTCCCCTTGGAAATCTTAAATGATAACTCACAGAATAGAACAATAAATCAATTATATCCAGGAAACGTTAGTTTGAAAAAGGAAAAAAGCCTACAAAATACTGGTTTGATATTGCTTTCCAGATTAATGCAAAAACTTGACTGAACACATGGCTGCATTGTCATACTGTGCTTAAAATGGGCAGTCCCACATGGCATTGGACACAGTCCTGTCACTGGGTCCAGCCTGATAAGCAGAGAACCCTCAAACACTTTGGCTCATCTCTAGCAAAATCTTTCTATACTTGGGTTTTCCCCCCCCCCCACTAGGTTGCTTTTAAAAAACACTATGTTAATAATATTTTTGGAATTAGGCACATTTCAGAGAAATGCACTATGCTGTACGGAGTAATAATGCCCAGAAATTTATCTGTGTATAGTATTTCATCATATATATTAGGATGATATTTTAAAATATAGATCTTGGTGAAATAATTGAAGTTATTTGACTGAAGGAATACAGGAATAAGCATACAAAAAGAAACTCCTAAAAACTTCAGGGTAGACCAAATTCTTACATGTGTAGCATCTAAAAATAAAGGATACTAATTATAACAACAGAAGATACTTAAAAGTGTAGATGAACACACCTCTTTTTTTTCTCTTTCATTTCAATACATTTGGGAAGATTTGTGATGGAACATGCCTGCCACTTTCACTGTTAATGGAAAGTATCTGGCAGGATCAGTTACATTAAGGTGTGATTTCCTGCTGGAATAAGATCTGGAGGCCAAAGGGGAGGTGAGTACTTTCTTAATAATATTTATTAATCTTAGTAAATGCTTTAACTATTATGTTACCAAGTATTGCAAATTGGGAAACACTGTGAAATCCTCTGTCTTATTTTTTATGAGGAGGGGCTGATGGGACAGCAGTTCTAGAGGAGAGCCAGCAACTGAGAATCCTGAATAAAGATAAGCCCCTAATTGTCTCTGGGGGGACATATATTAGATACTCTCCTTTTTTTTGTTCATCTTTTACTGGAAGCTTTGTCTGTTAAGTTTACTGGTTTGTACGCCTGAATTTCCTGTGTTTTATGGAGATTCTGGGTACCTTCTCTCAAGAAAGTGAATTTTATTGCAACACACACATCCATGATGGAAGTAAGCCAAGTTAATGTTTTTCTAGTCTAGAAGCAACTTGAGTTTTTTCAGCAAAATAAAATACCAGTGTTCTTTGTACTCCTTCAGCATCAGGCAGAAAGCAAAAATGAGGCTTTTTAAAAGTTCAGATGTGACAATTTGTGCAGAGCTCTGCTACAAACTAAAGGAATGTGAAAAGTTTTAAGCCCTGGTGTCGTCTGATGTGGCAGACTATATTATTGCAGAGTTTGCTGCCAAATCCTAATCTAATCAAGGCAGATACATTTCCTTTAACCAAATAGTTTCCAGTCATGTCAGAAAAAAAATTAAACGAAGCAGTGAAGGAGATCATGATCTACCTAGGAAAACAAAGTAGTTCTTAATCTGGATAATATATTATTACTTTGTTGTAAAAGGTTAGATTCAGACTGAGTGCTGTTTTAGTAGTTGCTGATTAGTGATGCGTTATTATGGGAAGTAATTAAAAGCTTACCAGACTGACAAAGTAATATCTGTGCGCAGTCAAAGTGGGAATTCAGAAGCATGGCAGATTAGATTTCCAAAGAAAGTCTGTGATTTTAAATCATTTTAAACAAACATTGTTTCACTTCCCATTGGAGTAGAATAGGTTCATTTGGAAATACTGCGAAATTACTTCATCAGAAACAAACCAAGGACATATTGTCTTTCTTAGACTGCCAAATTTGTGAAGTAAAACAAGTTTTTTTCTAGGTTTCTCTGGTACCTAGTTTACATAGCTGTTTTTTGGGTAAATTAATAATTTTTAACTGCATTAAATATGAACAATTATGCACAAATAGTAATACCCAATAGTAATTACATGGAAGGACTATATTAACCCCATAGATCTCTTTTATTTTAGTAGGGGTTTTTTAATGCCTTTGTTATTTAGAGTTACTCGTGATTTAACTTCAAGTTTTGGGCCCAGTCTTCACATGTTTTATGTCTGAGCTTTCTGGAGTGGTCACAGCCCAATTTCATATCCATGTTGCCTGAAAAGACCATTAAAACACTCAAGGGTAAACATATGCAATGGTAATTAAGTAATCAGATGCCTCTACATTGCTTTGAATGCTCTGCTACATCAGGAACAGAGCAGATGAAGCGGGGGTTAGTTTTTTTTCTGAAACACCTGTTCTCTCTCCATCGTCCTTTCCGCCTTCCCTGTCTCCTCTGCTTTCTGCCAGGAACTGCTGGAGTCCATGAGATGGCACTATGCCATAGCAGGGTGTTGGGACATCAGCTCTACAGCTTCAACTTTATAGCATGGATAGATCCCTTTTTAAACTCTAGAGATTTGTTCAAATTCTAGTTTCCTTATGCCACAAATATCCTGCCTTTCAGACTGTCATCAGTTGGGAATTGCGGGTGATTCCTGCTAGGGGACGTGGGGGAATTCCAGTGTAAAAAGGGATCAAGTTACCAAAAGGTTTGGGAAAAATGTTTACCCTAAGCTCCCTCTATTAAACTGTTAGGTGAAGGCTCCTCTTTGGAACTAGAAAGAATGTCTCTGAGGAACACAGTTAATCAGTTAAAAAGGGCTTTAAAATATTCAATTCATATGTTCTTGGCCTATCTTCAGATTCTAATATATAAGGCAAAGGTTGTTTTTTGATTAAATATAAAAAGGTTAAACAATTTAGGAGAGATGTCCTTCAAGTAACTTTTATCCAGACTAGCACACAGAGAGGAAATGCCTTGTCAAGCCCCAGCCACCTGAGACCCACTGGGCTATTAAGGCCAAGTTAATTGGTTCAGGCAGGGTGATATAAGCAGTGAAGAGCCTGCAAGATCAGCATCCCTCCCTCCCCAAAATGAGACAGAAAGAGCAAAATCCTTCCTATTGTGGAACTGCTCTGCAACTTTGCAAAGAGGAGAGCAGGAGAAGAGCTCTTACTTTCTGGAACAGGAAGCAACCTCTGCAGCTGTGAAACCTGAGAGAACAATGGAGATTGTGTAGACGAGCAGTTATGGGGGGCTGCTCTTGGCTCTCTGAGGCTTGATGCCAGAGAGGTCCCACAGCAGCAATCTTTTCTTTGTAATAAATTCTAAACTTCTGTTGACCTTATTGCTGTGCTCTGGGCTGAAATGCATGTGAACAACTGACGGGACCATACCCCAGATCTTGTAATTGTGGATGCTTACTGAATGCCAACAGAACTCTTCTGGACAAGACCAAAATGTAACTGAAAGCATTTTTCTTGTTTCCAGACTGAATGTGAACTAAGCTGTTCATTCCTGCTTTAGCCATGCCCTGGAAGAACATGTCATACCACTCAAGTCACTTTAGGTTAGTGTGAAAAGTAGCTCTCATTTTCCCATTTTCAACCCTGTATTGCTTTGTATTAAGATTGGCTTATTTTTTTTAAATGAAAAACCCCCAACCTTCCAGCTTTTATTTTAAAAAAGTCTGAAGACTTCACTTTTTTCTCTACAGAAACATATTGTCAACTGCAAATATAGAGAAAGTAAAACCTGAAGGTTATTATTTATACTTTGGTATCACTTTGAAGCATTTGTTCAATTTAAAGTCCTTGCTTTTTACTCCAGGTTCTGTGGAGAACGTGTCTAGTCATTACAGACCGTTCTTCTTCACTTTGTTGTAAACTACTTCTATCCATGTAAATACTAAGGCCATAGTTCTTCCAACTTTATGGATATGCCTCAAATTTATTTATGTGAACATTCACATTGATTTTTTTTGGTATTGTGTGCAATAGACACGTGTATAACTTGTAAAAATCAGAACAGAATTATTACTTTGTCCTTAGAGGATTAAAACCATTTGAAATGTCTACTATTTGCCAAATGAGACATAAGATCCTGATTTACACCATCAGTTTTCTATACATCACAAGACCAAATCTATTTAAACAATACAGTAAAATAATATTGTTCCCTGTTACATGTAACAGTGGACTTTGATAGTAAGTAGCCCACAGCTGTTGGATTAATATATGTAAGTATTTATAATACGTTTTAATTTATATACCAGGATGGACTGTGTATTTTTTATACATATATATGTGTGTGTGAGTATATAGTCTTGGACTGTAGCCAAGACTATGTAAGAAATATTGTGTGTGTAGAAGCTCCTTCACAAACATCATCATGCAGGCATTTTCCCTGTTTTACCACCCCTCAGTGCTCTTTCCTTTAGTTAACTGTATTTCTGGCTCATATCACACTAGAATATATTCCCTCCACTGCCTATCATCTGCTAGGATTCATTTTAAATGAGGTAGTCACTATCCTTATCTAATGAATGATAGTACTTTGGCCGGTGCAGTTTAAGGACTGGGAGGATTTATGGTTCAGTTGTCTGAACACAATATAAGATTTTTTGGCAGTGAAATAAATATTTGAAATTCAAATTTTATAAATGGGTTCTTTAAAAACTATTTGATGTTTAATCACACTGAAAAAGAACTTTATTACGTGAGTGGCTGTAAGACTTTTGGATGCTGTGTGTATTTATACCACACTATCACAAGAGAAATTATTGTTACTTACTGAAGAAATAATCTCTGTTCTTTCTTGTTGGATTATATTTAAAGCCTAGAAAATTTTGACAAAAGAGGAAGATGAAAGCTAAAGTCAGTGATAGATTCAGTCTGGAAATAATTGAAATGTGTCTTGTGGGATAAATGTTTTTTTATATTGACTGCATGTCAGCTCTATATTAGATGTGAGCATGACAATAGCAGAGAAGACGACTACCATAATTTACCTACTTTTATAAAAACCAGATGTTGCCAGGTTACCCGTGCAAGGGTGGTGTTATTTTGTAATTTGGGTGCTTTTCACACAGCCTGAATCAAGGCACTCCATGGCAAGTGCCTGTGTTGGTTGATTAGCCTTCCTAGAATCCTCAAAATTTGTTAGGAGAAAGAGATTTCTACCACCCAAAGGGCAATTCAGAGGAAGGATTCACCACAGATAACTGAATTACTCTCCTGGAGAGGCCTTTTCACCCTGCTGATACACAGGAAACCAACAGCATCCAACTTCCTACTTTATTGTATAAACAGAACAAAAAAATGGCAATGTCAGGAATAAAAACCAAATCAGGATAAGTATATAAACCTGTAGTGTGCTGAATGTAAAATGAGGCACTTAAAGCCAGATATTAGAAACCTGAATATGCCTGCTTATGTGGTACCAATTTCTAGGCTTTCTCAAACTGTGCCTGTTGGTAAGTCAACGGGCATGTCTGCAACTGCTTGAGATTTGGTAATGCTGGAGAGACAACACATGCCATACCTCGTAGTCCACATACAGAAACTAGATGTTCTCTCTATTATAAGACACATTCTTTTCCTTTAATCTCTTTCCATGTCAAGACCATTACTAATTATTTTAGTGGTTAAAACAATGATTAAAAGGCCCATTCTCATTTAAAAGTTGATAATACAAGCATAGGGACATTTTAAGCATTTATAGTTAAAAATTAACACTGTGATTGCAATAGATGCTGCACAGTAATAGAAGGGAAAAACTAGTTCTCACCTGAGGAAATTGTACAATGTAATAAGATACAAAACCTGGTTTAGTTCAGAACAGAAAAAGTTTAATCAGACTCGAGAAACTGGGGAATTGGTAATGTCAGCACCATATCGATTCCATCACTGCAACACATGTTTGATGCTTCTAGTGGAACTAAGGAAAACAAAGATTATGTTAATAATTTTGTTAACTTTTTTTCTTTATTCCTAAGAGACATTAAAAAAGCACTAAGAAATAGTGTTAGCAAAGTCAAGACAAATTGTGTTCTTCTGGAGAGTTAGAGGTACGTTGAAACTGATGTCTTATCATTCCTTTTTTTTAATATGCATCCAACTACTAAAGAAATCCAGACAGGTCTGAATGAGTGTCTAGAGATATCACATTAAAAAATGCATATATAACAATGCTGTTGTAAAGACTGCTCAATAATCACAGCCTACATTAATTCCAGAAAGCACACACAACTGATATTCCTTGGCTTCATTTTTAAGGCAGCATTTTGAAAGTTATGTGCACTAATCCTGTAACAGTAATGGGATTTGTGTTTCCAACACAAGCATAGCTTTGAAAATATAACCATAAGAGTCCCATGCAGCAGTCAAAGTAATCCCTGGCTTCTGAGAAAGAAGAACAACTTTGCAAAAATTTTGTCACCAAACTAAAAATACATCCTGTATCTTGGGGAATCCTCATATAAACATTCTTTTTCTGGCTGCAGGGATGTAAGATCACATGGAAATGGAGGAGAAAGAGCGGTTATTGAAAGAACCCAAGTCTGCTTCTTAGCTGTCTGAAAATCCCCAGTGTCCCCATCTTCCCACAAAAGTGTTATCATAGAATGATTTGGTTTGGAAGGGACATTTAATGATCATCTAGTCCAACAGCAGGGACATCTTCAACCAGATCAGGTTGCTCAAAGCCCCGTTCAGCCTGATCTTGAATGTTTCCAGGAATGAGGCATCCACCACCTCCCTGGGAAATCTGTGCCACTGTATCACCATCCTTATAATGAGAAATTTCTTCCTTATATATAGTCTGAATCTATCCTCTTTTAGTGTAAAATTATTACCCCGTGTCCTCTTGCAACAGGTACTCCTAAAAAAAATTATAACCCCTGAGAGGTGAGTGGTCACTTTGAGTACTTCATGATTTAAGGTAAGGTAAATATGCTACTTTACTCTCCTGTTGCCTGACAGGGCAAAGTAGTGTCTGTTCTGCTTCAATTCCTATTTACAGAGAGTAGGACCTTTGGAAATTTTCAGAATTGGCATTTTTCCTCTTCTCCCTAGAACAAGAGTTGTATGTAAATCTTACATGTGAATAGGAAGTTAAGTGAAATTCAGTAATTCATATAGGGAAGTAGCAAATGCAATCTGAAAAGTTTCAGCCTGGGTATTTTTATTCAAAATTCCTGTTGACTTCAGAAGAATGAAAGATGTAGGTCTTTTTCACAACAGAAAAACAATCCTATGTGTTAAATATCTGTTGGAATGAATGGATGTTGCTGGCTTTTTGTATCATACTGAAAGTTGTCAATTTCTGAGGATATTGGTTTCCACTCTTGTGGTTGAGAGTGGGGTTATTGGTCATTATTATTTGTGACACCTATTTTAAATAAGGACATAATTAAAAATTCTGTCCAGGATAGCAGTATCTAAAGATTGCAGTCACATACATCAGCATTATTGTGAGTCTGAATAAAACTGCAATAGTATTGTTGGGTTTAGGATTAGGGGTAGGGGTAGGAGCAGGGCTAGGGATTAGAGTTAGGGGGTAGGGGTAAGGATAGGGATTAGGGGTTAGGGTTAGGTGTTAGGGTTTGGGTTAGGGGTTAGGGTTTGGGTTGGGGTTAGGGGTAGGGTTAGGGTTGGGGTTAGAGGTAGGGGTAGAGATTCAGGTTAGGTTTAGGTGTTAGGTTTAGGATTAGGGTTTGGGTTAGTGGCTAGTGTTCAGGTTTGGGTTGGGGTTAGGGTTAGGGATTAGGATAAGGGGGCAGGGTTAGGGTTCGGGTTTAGGTGTTAGGTTTATGGTTAGGTTTAGGTGTTAAGGTTAGGGGTTAGGAGTAGTGCTGGGGATAGGGTAGGGGTAGGAGTTGGGGTTAGGGTTAGGGGTTATGGTTAGGAATAGCGGTGGGGGTAGGGTAAGGGTAGAGGTAGGAGTTGAGGTAGGGTTAGGGTTGGGGAAATCAAACACAAAGCCTTTTTAACATTGTCAAAAAAGATGATGGCCTAATAATCAAGAACAACAAAGAGTATTAAATATCCTTCCAAATATCTCTGAGTTAAAGAGAGAGAATTTCCAAGTTGGAAGGATTTTTTGGAATAAGAAACATTGTTACACACTGATGAGGTTTTAAAAAATGAGGAAATCGTATTTTTCAGGAAATGACCAAGAGGTGGCAGCACTTCCTGAAATGCTGAATGCCTGGAGTTCTCAGAGCTGTCCAGTGCTCATTCCCAAGGGCTTGACAGCCACTTTTCTTCAAATACACCCAAGGAGATGGTGTCCGTAGAAAATCAACCTTGTTGTGGCTACATTTGGCTTTTCTAGAAGTACACAAGACTACATAAAATCAAATCTTTTACTACATCTGAATATACTTGTTTGACACTGGCACTCTGGGTTGCTGGCTCTGTATCTTGCTGTAGTCTCACATGGCATGTTGCTGTATCACTAAAGTCAGACACATATGCTTGGGGCTTAATTGGTATCTGTCTGGATCCATAGGAAAATTTAACAAGACTAAGACTTGCTTGATCCTTCTACTTAAGAAAAATCCAGAATACAGCTCATGTAAAATCATCTTGTATTTACAAAAGTCTCTTCAGGGAACAATTCAAACAGGTTGATTCTTTATGCCTAGAGAAGTCACACCATAATGGAAATACACCTGCAGGTGTTGATGGCAATAGCTTTGTTTTATTTCCTGTGGCCATTATCCTCCCACAATCTCCAGACAGTCCTGTTGAAAAAAAAACAACTGAAGGATCCTTGCTATTAGCAGTGGGTGGTTGCAGCATATGGTGATATATGGTAATATTTCAGCTCTAAATGTACATGATACAGTTAATAGTTCATGCAATGCCAGGATTGTATCTGTGGCACTCGATTTTGCTGTGCTCTGTCACAGTCTGGCTCTGAGCGTAATTTTGCCTTTTCTCTGTTCCCTTTTGCTTTGGCCTCCTCACAGGGTTGGTTCTGCATTATCCCTGTGGTTGTCTTCCTTTAATGGAAATGTTCCCTTCACTGTGGCCAGGAGTGATGCTGCTTTTTCCAAGGGAAAGACCAGAAGAATACTGAGCAACTACACATTTGGTGAGAGCGGAGGTTTGTGTGTCCTAGAAGGCAGTTGGGGATGATAAGCAGTTCAGTGAGGGGACAGAGGAGCAGGGAAAAAACTCCTCCATCTGAGAAAATGCTGTGTATTGATCTTAGTCCAAAAAGCACATTCTTAGCTGTATCTCCTCACCTATTACTGACACAAATTGTATTGTGTACTGACACAAATTGTATTTGTAACTTTTGCATTACAAATACAAAAGTTACAAAAGACACAAATTGTATTCTCCACTGCTGCTGCCTGCCATGGTGCGGAGTATTGCTTTTATTACTAATAAGATGGGCTTCTCTAACTGAGAACTGCAGTTCTTTTCATGTATACCCTTTATACACAGAAGAGGTAGAAGATGACAAGACTGACTTTGAAAAACTGTTAAATTCAGCTGTTTGGGCAAATATTACAGCCAACAATAACTGATCCGTTGGTTATTATCTTCAGTCAGAGGGAGACTTTATTCTTTTTCTGAGGTTTAGTGGCTTGCCACTACTGAAAGGGTCAATTCAATTTCTCCTTTCTCCTGGCCACACATTCCTGTTGCTTCTCCGATGCTGGCTTGTGTTTGTTTGATCCTACTATAATCCGGTTCCACTCACTAAGCCAGAGAAAACTAATCCTGCAAAAAAGTGACTAGTGCTCTGTGATTTGGTGGAAACTGAAGCACCTCTCACAAGGCTCACACAAGTGCTGCAAGAGGTACAAGGAAGAAGGGAGTTAATGAAGGAAGCAAGACAGCCACTTTGGGTGACAGAATGATGTTACATTGGCTCAGAAAAGAAAAAGAAGAGTCACTAGGAAAGTTTATTTTGCAAAAGTAGGTAATTAATAAGCACCAAGGTATGCTGCCAGTGAAGTAACTGAATTCAGAGCTGTCTGAAAGTACATGTGTGCTAAATGGGCAGGCTTGCGAGACACTGGTTTTCCCAAGAAAGCCAACTTAGGAAACTCTGTCTCCTTCTCTCAATAGCTTGTTTCCTTATGTCCTGTGTTTAAATTGTCTGCCTCCTGTGAAATATTATTAGAAGAAATGTCCAGGATGGATCATAAAACTTTGCACAAAAGAAAAATCATAAGGTGAAAGCACAGAGCTTCCTCATTTGACAAGTATTTGTTGGTAACAGAAACAACACCAACCACTGTGTGGTAAAATTAGTTGTAATGATACGAAATTGTATCCCTTAGAAATTGATATCTGGCATTTTTATTGAAATAAGCCATGTCACCTGTAAATTTGCAATTACGTATACTAGTGGCAAAATGATGTCAGACCTGTAAAAGAGAAAACCCTTAATGTTTGGAATAAGTCATGTTTTATTCTCATGACTTACAAGTCATACACACAGGCAAGCAGATTCTGACATTGTATCTGGGAGTATATCTGTAGTGTTTTTGAAAGTTAGGATGAACTTTAATGGTGAGATTTCCATAGGAATACACAATGCCAAATCTCTATTCCCTCAAAAGCCCTGAAGTACATGTTCAAAATCAAATATGAGATTTGTACAGCGGAATAAATTTATAAAAGCGCCTACATTTAGGTGTGTACCTCAGGGCATTGTTGAATATAGGTCTAGATATTTTAGCCTACTGAAGATGCTTTTTATTTCAGCATATCACTAGTAAGGTCTTTGTCTGAAGAGATTATTTAAAATGTAGAATGTGTTTAGATAGATAAATAGACAGACAGACAGATACATAGATAGGTTTTTTTCCCCTGTCTTAACTATGACAGATATATGAAATACTGTCCAGTCAAGTTATATTCGAAACTAATTTCTTCTGACTACCATAATATATTAATGATGTAGAAGATGTTTCAAGAGCAAAACATAAATGTTAAGATTCTAGATAGAAAATATCAGGAAATTATTATCTTTCAATTAAAAATAATGAAATATTAATCTCTGAGGAGAATGTCAAGATTTAGTAACTCAAAGAGTGTGTATTAATGAAAACAAAACTACCTAACAAAAATTGCTGAGCAATCACACATTAAAATGATCTACAGAAACAATTAGGTAACTGTTGCAGAAAGCACCATTAAAATGGAAACCTGTAAAAATAATCTGTCTGTGGCATTTCACTGAATGTGCATATTTACTGTCTCTTAATTACCTTGAAAATATGTTTAGTTTACACCTAAAGAAGATAGGTGTGTCTACAAATATGATTTAATTATTATTTTTGCACTTCCTATATCAGCTACATAGAAAAATAGAAAACCACCACAGAAAATATATTTGGTTAGATTAATTTCATTGTACTTGCTGTTAGCACCCATAGGCTAGTTTCTTGCTGATACAAATTGTAATAGTTCCAATAATTTCAACTGAAGTATGTTTTTTGCCAGCTGAGCACCTAGCCTTGTTCTCTTTGTTTTGTTCTGTTTCAATAACTGGATGGAGACAATTTTAAAATGCAGATTTGAAACTTCTTAGAGAAATTATTAACATTGCATTATAACATAGTGGTGGTTTTAAGATGAACTGTAAAATCAGGCATGAAAATAATTAAGATTTCAGACTTGGAGTGAACTCACTAGTTTTGGCCTAGTTTTTTAATATAGATTCCCCTTTCACTTGAGCCATTCAGAAATCTCCTTTATATATTCAAGTGTTTCCTACAACCTTTGCTGTCACAGCTCAGTTCCCATTCCTCTCCAGCTGAACTAACAGCTAATGTCTCGATAGTACCGTAGCTGCATTTTCCTAACAAGATACAAATTCTTGGATAAAGTAGAAAACTAGTCTCAAGAGTGAGGGAGGAACTAATAACTCAAGGAACATGACATTTTTATTAAACACTGTGGTCTAAGTTTCTTCAAGAACCAGCTTTAATAATTTGGTTGTATATTGCTCTGAAGGGATTAATATTACTTAATTATAAGCATGGCTTAAAGCAGGATTGCTAAAACATCCTCTGCTCTTTCATCAGTTCTGCATCCGACTTTGGCTACACATAATTCAGAAGAATCACCACAGAGTGATTTCCCAACTATCTATGTGCCTCCAAGCACAGGCAAGGGAAAACTCTACCAAGCATTAAAAATGGCCCTTAGTATCACCATACAGCTTTCAAGATATTTCCCTAAACTAATTCAGAAATTCTATCTGTTTCTTCAGAAAAATATTGCAAATTCTACACTGTCATGTATAAGAGGATCAAACTGGGACCATCTGCAGTATTAATCACTGCTCTCCATGTAAACTTGAATTCTCCATGTTTTGTTAAATATTTGATAATAGTCCTGACTTTTCACTGTTGATAGTTAGAGGATGGCAGACATTTAAGAAAATGGCATAGTTGTAACATTTCAAAATAGTGCATTAAGATAGAAATAATATATTCAAATGTGCTCTTAATGTGTCATTGATGAATCTAATCTTACTTAAGTTATAATAATTTCAAAATGCCTTATAGAAATACCTACTTTTAAAGGTACATCAGCATCAAACTCTTACAGAATCTGACATGCAGTTATCAAACATCTACAGTTATGACAACTGAGTAGAAGCAATATTTCTCCCTATTTTGAATTTGTTTGTTTTTGTTTGATTATCAGAAGGATTCATGCCTACTGGAGTTCATAAAAAAAGGTTTAAGAATACCATTTTTAGGCTCTTTTAAACTTAGGATAGGTGACTGATCTCCCTTTGTCACAGTGGGAATTCAAGCAAGAACTTATGTTTAAATGATGTAAGAAAAAATAAAAATATGTCTTTTCCAGTGGAGTGTGTTTGGCACTTTTTGTAACCTCAAAGGCAAAAAATGTGAACATATGATATACACTTATCATAGCACCAAAACACTGTGTTAATGCACAACATGTGGAAAATGGGAAAAATATGGAAAAATAGCATTATAGGCCTCCAAGTCTAGTACAGTCATTAATGTACACAGTCTATTCCATCAATTAAACAGTTTGAGATGCACAAGAAGGTGAAGTACTTGGTTTGGCTTGAGTCAAAATAAGAGCTTAATACCACCAAAAGGGTAAGATCCTGCTTTTCTTTCCTGCCTTTCATTCCCAGCCACAGAGTGGATTTTTAAGCCAGATCATTTCAGTGATCCAGTTTACAGTGCTTCCTAAATAGTACTATATTGGCAGAACTGAGGAGGCAGACCATCATGGATGGTTTTGTGAATGCTTTCCCTCAGTTTTCTCCCCTCACCCCTGGAGCATTACTGTGTGGTTAGTCGCATCCAGTGTCAATATATTCTGGTCAGATACTTGGAATGCTGCATTGCTGGAGTTACATTTGCTCACAAAACAATAGTCTTCCTCTCATATGTTTGCACAAACTTAAATAGAATTAGCATGTATATCATCCTGTTTAGTGTGGGGCACCAAAAAGTGAAGATCTATCCAGCTTGGTGTTTCAGACACCTTGCAGTTTGGTAAATTAGATGGGATTTTTTAAAGATTCAGGAGAAGCTTTTTCTATTCAAATGTCTTCAATTTTTCCTTAACAGTCTGAATTCTGGAATGCTTAGTTAATTGTAGGTCTGTTATTTTCACTGTCAGGTAATAGCTGTCAACATCTTTAATAGACTGCCTGAAATAAGCAGCATTTTAGACATGTTGGTGGTTTTCAGCATTAAATTACATTTTGTATGATTCTAACAGCAGAACCCAAACTTCCTGAATTATGCCAAGAAGGAGGAATCTGCTACTTGTTTTGTAGTCCATATAAAAGACATATGATTTAGAAGATAAATGTCCATTCCCACTGATTAGAGCAAAACACTTTCTAACTTTTGTGAGTTCTGCCTCTCTATTTAAGATTATATTGAAGTTACCCACAATCTAAGCTAAATATACTGAGCCCATGGAATAACTTTCTCTTGTAATTGGTAGATAAGAAATTTTATAGTTAAAAAAAAAAAGAAGCAGGAGAAAAAACTTTGTCTGCTTCTAGAAGACCAACAATGAATCCTTCCCAGCAATCTCTTCAGTAATGTGTAAAATTTTAGTAGAAATAGATTTTCTTAAAAGATGTAGCAGCTCATTTTCTGTTCCTTTTGGTTGTGAGAGTCTTTTCCTGTCAATCATAACTTTCAGAATTGGATGTTCTACACTGAGATTCTTTTCTTGGCGACTAACCTGTTTTCTTGCATTAGGCCAGAATGGTACAACTAAGCATATGAACTTGGGAGATAGTCAAGTATTTTCAGTTAAGAAATACAGATTCTGAAATGCAGATATGCCAAAGGCCATATTTTCTTTTGGGTGAAGTGCTCAAGCACAGGATAGGCTTAGATTTATAATTTAGATTTACAGGTAGCATGCAATACTATTTTACTTTGTGAAAGCTTGTCACGTGAAAGGTATGGGAAGGGATTCACCTGAATTTGGATTTGCATATGAAAACCTGGTACTAAATAATAATCAATATGAATCAATATATGAATCTCCAATTTAAAGCCATAAGAAATTTTATTTCTTAATATCCCACATAATGGGAATGAGTTTAAAATCCCAAATAAGAACATTGTAATTCAAATATTTTGCAGGTACCAAAACCAGATAAACTCCTACAGGATTAAGATCTTATTTTCTTACAACTATAAAATGTAGTCTAAAGATGAAAGAAGAATGCTGTACTTGCCTACCTCACATGGTGAAGAATGAAGAGAATTGCATTTAACAAACTGTGTTATAGGTGGGACAAGTAAAGGGACAGTCTGTGGTATTCTATAAATTCATGAATTCTCCATTTATCTGTTTAGCCATGGAAACCTGTAGTTAATACTGTTGAGGTGCTAATGAAGTTGATGGGAAGGAATCCTTTAAAAGTAAGTTCAGATGAAACAAAAATCCCTTCCATTTGCAACAAGTGAATTGCACAGGGCTTGAAAATGAAAGAGTTATGTAAATATATTTCTCTTAATTTAGAATATTTTTTTTCTCTTTTAAAAGCTTCAAGATTTCAGTTGTAACCTTCTGTGACAACTGCCCTTAATGTATAACAGATTTAACTGTGGGTTGCATCTGTACTTGCAGTAATATTCTCCCTTATTCAGTTGTAATCTAGAATATGTAATCTAGAATCTGCTGCTGGTAGCGTGCTTTGGGCTGATTCAGACTCTTCTCAACTTCCAGGGAACTTGGATTTGGATGTAGAAGGACTGTGCATCTACATAGATGAGGGGACCAAAGGATGTCTTTTTGGGCATGGTGTCCATGGGCATGGTGAGATGATAAAGTTTATATATTGTCAGAAAAATTCATGTGAAACTCCTCACCAATTTGGTCGCTGAAGCAAAAACCCTGTCATACCCAGCATTGTAGCTATGGAAAATATGCATCACTGCTTTCAAGGTCATGTCTTCCATGAGAGCATTACAGTGTTTCCAGCGTGTTTCCAGACTTTCAGTCTGACATCTGTGAGGCAATACACTTTTGAATGCAGATGCACCTTCCTTAAATTCAGTAATGAATATATCTTTTGTTTCCCATCTTTTATAAGGGTGCAAAGTCCAGATGTGGACCCAACTGCCACTAAAATCCTGGAGGGATGGGTTTTTTTTTTCTTAAAATTAAATGGAGAATTGGCAGTGGTGCTAGAAATTATTTGGCAATTCACATATCAAGTTGTCTAAGTGATGATTGCCTTTTAGACTGAAGTTCTGTGAGAAAGATAGCTCTTGAGTTTTAGTTAAAAGAATGTTTGGAGATACATAACTGAAAGTTAAAAGACAATGAAGGATAGCTGAGAATGCTGGATAGCATAATCGTAGTGAAATATAGGACTGGACTAATTTTTTTAAAGTGTTTCTATTAATGAAACCCTGGCAAAATCACCCTAATCTTGTAATTCAGGGTTGCTCACTCTGCATAGTATTTACTCTTCTTTTAAAGGCTGTGTATGTGCTAGTGATAACATAATAAGGCCGCATGGAAATCCTATAAAGATTGGAGGGAAAAAAAATCCCTCTCATGAGAAGAAAAACAGATGCAAAGCTATAACCTTGCACCTGGAAGTCTTTCACATGGCAGTTCTGTGTGTTTCCAACCACCCCATAAGGACAGAAACAACACAAGCAGCTGATAATGTGATTGTGAGGAATGTGCTGACCATGGTGGTGACAGGGTGATATATTTACCCTCGAGAGCGCAAGTGCACCTGTGAAATATTAGACTGTGCTTTTTTACTACAAGATCAGTTTAGAAATATTTAAGAGTAAGCTACAAGATGGAAGGAGAGGGCAGTTAAAAGAGGCTGGGAAGAGGTAAGTGATAGACATTTGGGAAAAGCAGAGTGTGCTTTCAGAACAATTTATCGCAGAGCTTTGGAAGCTTATTCCACTCTCATTAAGAAGAGATCCTTTGGAAGGAAGTGTCTATCAATGCAGCTAATTAAATACACTAGAATTAGTAAACTAGGAGAGAAAATTCCTAGCTTATGTTAAAAACAAAATTTAACATGCAATTAGTGATGCATACTTGAGAAAATAAAAGGGATGTTTCAGATGGCTGACTGGGTTGCACTGGCTGTGTATTTCTAATTTATGTTTTAGGTTAACACACCAAATGGTACAGAAAACATTACATGTGTGGAGAGCATCAAAACTGAAATTACTGTTGATGTGGTATCCTCTGGGTTTCCTGAATTCTTGGAATTTTATCTTTAGTACTCACAAATAAACAATGATTATGATTATATTTAAAGAAAGCTCTGCATGCTAGTATTGCTGTTTCCAAATGATCCTTTTCCATTTTGGAGTTCTCCTGTGGGAGGAAAGAGAAAAGATGTACTTGTGGATTGGTTTCTTGTTTGGAGTTTTCATTTGTTTTTCTTTTTTGTGCTGTTTAATGTAGCCTTATGGAAAACTTAGCAAACTTTAAGCTGGCTTGTAAGGGACACGTGTGGATCATGATGTTTTGAAGGGAAGATTCTTCCCAGTTAGCTGCTGTTGTGACTGGGAGATGTGGAAATATGTTGGTCACTTTACCTACTTCAAACTGGATGAAAATGTGTTATCTTATACTAAGCTGATAAAAAGAATATAATGCCATCTGTATAAAATAGGGAGTGTGTTTTTTGCAGGCTTGTGAACAGATGCTAGCTGACATGTTTTAGCCAAAAACTATGACATTAATGATAAGGTTTCCTGGGAAAAACACTTCTGTGAGTATTTGACAAAAGCAGTTTTGAGCTTAAAATGTCTTTGCAGTCAGTTGGATGAGGACTGATTTGGCCTGTCACCAAGGAGAAGTAGATTCTTCACTGGCAACACCGGAAAGGAAAGTGCTGAATAGAGAGTTTAATGCTGAAGCAAATAGCTGTCAGGAGCTCAAAGCCAGGTTTCTTAGTGTGAAGGAAAAGATACCAGGAAGCAGAAACAGTAAGACACCTAGATGCAGAATACATTTTTGGAGACGATAGATGAAATTTTCTAACTCTTTCTGTTGGAATCAAGCTTAGGAAGAGAAAAATGCAGAGAAAACAGATTAATATTTTGGCAGTCTGTCCAACGTTACTTTGCTATTGAAGAGGAGGAAATCAATACTAATATATTTAGGAGTACATTATGCTGAATTATGCTGACCTCATTAAATATATCACTAGCAAATGACTACAGTACAATCAGTAGCAGGACAAAATTGGAATCCTAGTCTGCTGAGGTTTCCTTTAATGGCAAAGACATGAAGGAGCTCCTTCAGGACAGGGCTCAGTGAAGTTTAGAGGAAATTCTAAAGCTGGTTAGAAGATTAGCTGCTGTCTGCTGAAGAAAGGGAAATAAACTAATTGAAATCTCAGTGCACCAGGAGCTTAGTAAATGTCAGGCTTCCCAAGCAGTCCTCAGAAATGTCCTAAAATGGGTCTGGTCACACCCTTCAGAATAATGGAGGGGAAACTTGGTGAAAAGGCTTTCTGAGACTCATTGGCCTTGTGCTTCAGGGCATGGGATATCTGGCTCCAAGTAATGCCTGGGGACACTGGAAACCGCTGCTTTACTGAAAGCTGCCTGACTCAGAGGAATACCATGAATATGTTTAAAAGGAGGAAATCAAGTATAAAGGTATAAAGGAATAGTACAACTACGAGTTCTAAATTAAATGGAAAAGGAAGTTTTGCATACTTGATACTTGATTCTTGTGTTTATTAATTTAAAACTGTACTAAGTGGATGTGGATGGTCTTCAGAAATGGGATAATATCCCTGATACAGGAATGTAATGGTTCCAAGTATAACAAACCAGAGGAATCTGGGCTTAGATTAGAAAGAAACACTTACTGATGTGTTCAGTAAAGAGAGGAGATTCTAAAGAGAGGAGATTTAGACCAGAAACTCTAGAAAAGAATTTTTTACTCTCTTGGAGAAGAGCTATGTTCAACACCTGAGAAGGGTCTGTGAAATCATGTGTCACCACTGCCTAACTTCTACCATTGTTTCTGCAGCAGTGCCCAGCTATAGTGAGAGTCTGGTTCATTTTACTCTGGTTAATTAGGCATGTGCTGCTTTCATACTACGTAGCACTTTCACACAACTTGTAGTTTTCTTTATTATTTAGTGGTTTGGTGGTTTGGGGTTTTTTGTGTGTTTTTGTTGTTGTTGTTGTTTTTTGGTTTTTTTTAATGGTGTTTGAAGTTGAGGCATCTGAAAAAGTCAGTTTGCCAGCCTGGAATAAGATTTCCACTGGGATGTGTCATCTTTGAGGTTTCTGTGAGCTGAGGGGGAAACTGCAAGTATTTGCAGGACAGTCAGTCTGCATGTATTGAGTATTTTTATTGAGGGGAATTAAACTCCTTAGAGTAAGGAGTTCAACAGTTGGCTGTTTTTGCTGAATAGGGCCCAGGTCAGACTCATTTGACAAGGTTCTTAGTTTCTCCTAAAGTAAATACATTTTGAAAAATTTGAAATGCAGTATGATGTATAATAATCAAACAGGTGGAACCTATTTGAAAGGTAATATGTGGTAATAAAGGTGTATGTGATAATAAACTAAACATTACAAGCCTTGTTTCTTTAGGAAATGAGAGTAAGAGTGTAATCTCTTGGTGTTCATCCCTCCCCTAACAACTTTTGATGCCATTCATTAATTTCAACAGAAGCTGACAATGGAGATCAATCTTTAAGCTACTTGATTTCTGTGAGCTTCATGAAAATACATTCTATCTCTCCTTCCCACCTATCTATCAGTGTTCTCATTAGGAAAGTGAGTGTCAGCTCAACCCTCATCAGTTACCAAATTGTCTGTAGGTGGCAGCAATGGTATGAAGTGCCCTGATTGCTTCTGTCAGTTCAGTGCTTTTGCAGGCATGGCAGAATCCAGTGTGAAAGCTAAAGCTGTAGGAAATCAGTATTTTTTAATTCTGCTGTCCATATTTCAAAGCAGTTTCATGTCAGGCACTAGTATGAAGAAACCATAAAGGTGATTAATATTTTGTAATGAAGCTATTGGCACCTAATAAGCTATCCACTTCTGTGGACTTGTTACTAAAAATATTTAAGAACTTGAAGGTAAATGTGACATTCAGTTTTAAATACATGCATTTCGATACTAGATCCTTTGTCTAAATGAGTTCATTAGTATTGACTGATCAATTGCCTTCCAAGGAAATAATCAAGGGGTAATCTTGTTGAAGACAAATGGACTACTTAGCCTGACTCAAATGTCAAAGGGCCAAATCTTGTTTTGAGAGTGGAGAATAACCTTGTGGTTACATTGGGGCTGTTAAAATGAGAGAGGTGAGAGGGACTCATTCCAAAAAGGAAGTGAGTTTTTGCTGGGTCTCTAAGTCAGAGGAGCCTGCAGCTGGCTGGTCCAGCAGCTTGGCTTTAATAGACAGTGCAGAAGGGAAACTGTGCAGATGAGGAGGGAGAATCAGGCCCATTTTGGTATCATGCAACAAGGAAAAATAAGGTCACTTGAGCTATAGCTTATAATTGATTCCTGATATTGTTAGTTTTTAAAAAGAAAATGTTGTAAATTTTTTTTGGCAAATGTGGGAATTAACTATATGGATAATTCCTAATAATGGCCACGAATCATCTTTGTACGCTCTAGAATGGGAAGCTCCTGAATCCTGGGAGCATTTGATTCTGGCAATAAGAGTGACCTGAAAACTCTCTGTGAATAAAAGGGACTCCAAAATACTTTTCAGTCCTCCTGATAATGAAGGTGGTGCATGGCTTCTGCAGTCGGATTTACTGTTTGTCTACAACTCACTGTGTGTTTTCTGTTGCTCACTTTATGTTGGGGGTAGAATATTGACAAGGACTACTACATTAAGCATCTGCAGCTAAACTGCTGAATGCACAGGACATTATTCTCTACAAACCTTAAAATACTACTTCAGAACTAGAGCAATAGAATAAATAGCTTTTCAACATGCATACAGCTGAAGCTGGCTAAGTTTCTCTCTTACTCCTAACTTTTTTTGCCTTTTGCTGAGTAAAATCTACTGGGACAGACTGATCCCTTTTATAGGGGCAGACTGCAAACTGTTCTGCTAAAACAAAAATGTCTCCCAAATGGTTGAAAAAAGTCTTTTAAGCTGTCTTTTGAGTTATAAAAACCTAGAGTGTGCTTTATGGCAATTTCATTTCAAACTAACTTGCCTTTTTTTTGGCGTCATTTTGGTCTCATTTTTTGGTGTCAATAACTTTTGCATTTATCAAGGTTTTATGTTTGTTGAAGAAGGGGCTGTGGCTTAATGGTACATAATTCTGTATATTTGAAGAAATGTCTGTGACAAACCAGCTGGAGCGTGTGGATTAGTTCTTCAGTAACTCATCCTGCTTGGAGAAATTTCTGCATATGTTCTGATGCTACAGGTAATCTCCTCACCCTGATACACCAAACTGTGTTTTTAAGGTCAGGCACCTCATTGTGTGTAATCTGTGAGGATTTCCAAGCAATAAGGCAGAATAAAACACTTTACATTTCAAATTATTTTGTAATATTCCTGCCTGTGTGTCGTGGCTTAGGAGTGGTATTCTCCAATTTAGTACCCCCACTAAAAACCACCCTGCCCTCCACTTGCAGGCACAAAAGGCAAAGATCATGAGCTGAGATAAGATTACTGAAAACAGCAATGAGACAAGAAAGCAAACAGGAACATCGACAGTATTAATAACAAAAAGTATAAAAAAAGAAACAATTCACAAAAATCCTGATCTTGCAAAAAATTAACCCTGTCCTGGCTGGACCAAGGACATGGTGGAAAAGAAAGGAACATGACATAAATATATTGCAAGACTTTAAAAACTGCAAAACTGCAAATACCTTTTGGAATATGCAAATGAGCTTGCTTGCTTTTTTTGTGTGTGTGTGTGTGTGTGTATGTGTGTGAACTGCTCTTCATCAAGCTTTCATTTCTGTGGTCCAATTTCTACATTTTAGGTTGTAACCTTTCAGGAATCTGTATGAAACGTTTACCTAGGAATGTGGAATGCAACATTCCACCTGCTTCATTTTTGAACCTCTCTTTTACACAGAGGTAACTCAGGATTGCATGTCTGTCATATGCTGGGACTTGAAGCATCAAAATTTATGTGGCTGAGAAATTGGTCTGAGTAGGTACTGTTCATACAGATGGCAGCTTTGGTTATCGCTGCATCAGGGGTTGGCATAAGGTTAGGCTTTCCCTTTTGATGTGATCTGCAATGAGCTCCGAGTCTGTATTGGAGCAAGAGATTGGGTATAAATACTGTAGAAAATTCAGACTCTGTCTCAGGTCTGTGTTTCAAACACAAGTTAAATGCATTTAAATTGTTCCCCTTCTTCTGGCATCCATGCTGAGGGGTCAACTTGTTGTTCTTTGTGTCTTGATAAATATTTAGGACATGGACAGCAACAGCAGCAACAGAAGAACAGTGGCTTGGGGTTCAGGTCTTGGGCCAAGAAAAGTTTTGAGCCTATATGAATGTCTAAATTACTGAGCTATTGAGTATGTTTCTGCCTAGGAATTCCAAGATGTAAGGATAGCTTCATTTTTCACTATTGAAGGCTTATTTGCAAAATTTTTGTGTACAGGCTTTTGTTTGGGATGTGTGTTTGGGGGGTTTTGTTTATTTGCTTTGTTGTTTTTGTCCTTCCAAATGTGTAAGTGAATGTTACATTGTTCAGTCTGTGACTGTCATGATCCGCTTACCCTTCCTTGTTCCAGGCGTTCAGGCTTTGGGATATCTGTGCAGTTGGGTGCTGCCTGTCAGCTGGAGGTACAAGGACTGATCCTGAACTGATAAGGTTGGCTCTAAGTGGTGACTTTGAGGGCATGGTCTAGGCTATGTTAGCTGTGTCCTACCAGGTAGGATTCCTCTGATCTAAAAAACAACTTCTGAATGTGTTTTTGTGAGTGATGACTTGCACAGAATGAGCAGAGAACGTAGATTTCAAGTTTCTCACATGGCCGGTTTCTAACCATGCAGTTTTGTTGCTTCTTTTTTGCTAAGACAACTTCATTGTTTGATTTAGTGGGGATGAACTTGAAAGGTTTGATGGCTGTATAGGATCTGATAAATCTGCAACTAAGTGTTAATTATGTCTGGTGATGAATCTTTCTTTTTCTTTTATTACTAGTTGTAAGTGATTGTACATGGCCCCCACCTTAGTGACGTGAGGACATGGCATTGAGCACAATAGAATGAAGGGGATTCGATTTGTTTCTAGATACAAGTAAAATGTTGGCTTGTTTATGGGCACAGTCTGATGAATCAATTAATTGTCTGGGATACAAGGAATGTGAGTTTTATTAGTGGCTTTTCCAGCATCAAGTACAATGGCCTTGGCAGATGAATTGTCCTTTTTTTGTAGATTGAAAAGTTGAGACTTGGAGGAGCAAGTGATAATTACCTCCTTTTTGTAAGTTATAGAAATAATTTTGAGCTACATAAATATTTATAAAATAAATGAAAATTATCATTGATATTACCACAGCATTTCCATCTCAAATTATTCCAGACAATTTGTACTGCAAAGATTTGAAACAGTTCTATTTTAGAGATGCTTCTTGTGCTTTGTGGTGATAGAGATCCCTTTCTTCTTTCCAACCTCTCTCTGTCTCTTCATTACTACTCCTCAGCCTCCCCCAAAAAACTAGGATTGAGGTGACAGTTCTGATCCCTCCAGCTTCCACAGGCTACACCAGCTTCTTTTTTCACTGTAGCCAGGGTGCATTTGTTTGTGTGTGTTTCTCCAATCAGTGATCTCTTTTTTTTTCTGAAGTGACCTCTGCTGGGCATGAGATTTATGGCAATGTGTCCATTCATTATGTATCAGTGTTACTCTGTGAGCTCCCTGCATCTCGGTCAGAGGAGGAACAGCTTCTCAGAGCAAGCCCACAGTAGTATCTTTGAGCATATGTTGTCTATTAAGTGAGATGAGGAAGTCACTTAGTTTTTCTTCCATTTGGAGGTTAAAATGGAGGGCTTGTCTAAAAACAGATTATGGTAAATTGGAGCTTTATTTGAACAGTATGTCAACATTACTAACTTGAAAATATATACTAAATTGATAGGTTTCCTTCAATTACCTCATCTTAAAAGCTGTTCTCAACAAATAAGCAAACAGTTCAAAAGTGATTTAATCTGTCTGCTAATGAGAAAGTCAGATGAAAGCACACAGCACTTTTGTTATAATGAGTGCTAGATAAACTATGACATGTATTTGGCCCACACTGCTTCTCCCTGTTCAGAAGTAATAACAAATTGAAAAAAATTGTGCATGTCCGGGTTCTAGGGTTATCCTGCAAATGTGCTAACGTAGGCCCAAAATTTGGGCATAGACAGCATACTGTGTTGCAGACTGGCCAGCTTTTAGCTGTGACCATTTTGCAATAAGTTGTGTGACTAGGATCCTGGATCCTGGTGTCACTTGGCTGCACTGACAGATGTATAAGATGGCAATGCGAATGCTTCATGTGTGAAATGCATTACACAAATATCTGTGAGACTTCCTTGCTTTTAGACGTTATTTTGAAGATTTTAATGATATTGTATATGTCAAGAAAGCCAATTTTCTTTAGCATTCCACATAATCATAGACATTTCAGCAGCATTTACTCAGCAGTGCTTATGTATGTGCTACCCTTTCACACTGAAGAGCTAAAGTTAGAGGCCTTTTAGATTACCCCATTGCAAAGGAGAATCTAGGAATTTCTAGAAAAACTGAGCTTCTTTAGCACAGTTAATGAGAAAAATGTGCCAAGTCTGACTTTCTTCAACACAGCACATAAACAGAGACAGTTTCACCATTTGGAGCTTTGAAACTCTTTCAATAAATAGTCCATTGTCTTGGTTTTAAGACAATTTTTACCGGGGAAATGGGACCTTAGATGGAATAGGGACTCCTACCTCCCAAATTTAATATGAATTCAAAAATTAATTTCGACTTACAAGGAGATGAAGTAGAAACAAAATTAACGGTTTTACTGAAAACCAAACGGCAAAAAAAACCCAGACAAAAAATAAACTACAAGCACACAGTAAAGGGGAAGAATATCACTCAGAGAGAGTCTGTGTTGTTGAAAGCGCCTGTTGGGAGTTTCCTGCGGTGCAGTCGCGATGAAACCACCATGGAACCGGGATGAAGCCACCTCCACGCTGGGCGAATGGCACATGGAAAGTTCAACAAAGGGAGCTCTCAGCTGAGTCCCCTCATCACGGCTGCAGTGGTGGCGGGCTCACCTCACACAGTGGGAATTCCCACTGGCCTGTGGCTGCTGCGGGGCCTGGGAACACAGGGGCTGGAAACACAGGGGCTCTGACTACAGTGACGTGGGACCAGCCACGGAGTCACTGGGCTCCGGAGAAAAGTGGCACCACTTTAGCTGGTGCCGAGCTGGAGCGGGGTAGTAGCGGTTGAGAAGCAAGGGCAGAAACGCAGGGACTGCAGGAACTAGTGCTGCCGGGATCGTTGCAGATTGTGGTCCGAGGTGGGTGGGTTGCAGCAGCAGGCAACCCCCAAGTCTGCAGGCAAGCCGAGAGAGAGTAATGGCGAAATGACAGCGCTTTTTATCCCTACCAGATGTTGTGGGACTCTCCCTCCGCCCTCATTCTTGGGGAATCTCTTCTTCAACTTCTGCAATTTCATCTCCCCTGCCAACATTCTCCCCCCCAGTGGTGACAATAGGAAAATAACACCCATTTTAAGAATCCATTTGTTCTTCACCAGAATGGGTCAGTAAATGAGCTGTTTCCTTCCAGATGGATCTCTGGTAGAAACTCGTCCACACTAGAACTCAATAGCACCTCCCTTTGTGAACGCAGGTTGTCTCAGTTCTAGGCAACCACCAGCTATCTGGTAAAGGAACCCAGCAGAAGTACCACTCTTTGCCTTTGTACTTGAAAAGAGAAGTAAGAAATAGCAGGTCTTGACCTACGTGAACATTGTGGTCTGAGTAGTTTTGGCAGTGGTTGATTAATCATTATGAAGTTCTTCACAAGAAAGAGTGATTGGGCATTGGAATGGGCTCCCCAGGGAGGTGATGGAGTCACTGTCCCTGGAGATGTTTAAGAAAAGACTGGATGTGGCACTTAGTGCCATGGTCTAGTTGACAAGGTGGTGTTGGGTCATAGGTTGGACTTGATGGCCTCAGAGGTCTTTTCCAACCTAGTTGATTCTGTGATTCTGTGGTTTTGTAATCAGTTTTCTGTTATTTTAAATATTGAGTTTATTATTGAATCTGCATCCTATTATTAAAAAGACAGAAATACAACTTTATTGTTGTACAAATTAGTTAGTGTATGACAGTGAATCTAGCTGAGATTCCTAAGCATTTAGGCAGAGAAATCTAGTGATGGTGCACTAGATAGTCCTGGTTTGTCATGTAAGGTACAGACACCTTTTTTAGTGGAAGAGACTGCACAGTTTCCTTTATAATTTGTGACTGTGCAGAGGACATAGTATGAGTAACCTACATTACTGCAGCTGAAGGGTATGGTGGTTCTCAGATAAAAAACTCTAATTGATATTGGAGGATAGTAGTTTGTACAGGGGAATTTGGGACCCTGTTATAAAACATGGCAATTTTTTTGGGTAAGGAAAAAATAGCTTGATTAGTGAAAGGCTTGCACCAGGCTCATCAGTCACTGATTGTGTATCTAGCCTGATAATGTGCAGAACACATTTAGGGTGCCTAAACTGCTGAATAGGGGCTAGTTTAGAGGTTATAGTTGGATGACCAAAAGAAAATTCTTCAGAATGCCTCTGGATTTTTGTGGTACTATATTCGAGGAGAACAAATATGTTTAGAAATCCTGAAAACCTGTGATTGAAATAGCAATGAAAGAGAATTCACTGAAGTTGGAGCATCTTCCTTACTTAAAACTGTTTTGGGATCTACAAGGTCAGAATTTGTACTTGAATTAGCATTTAAACAATGTGACACATCACAGACTATTTTCCAGTACTGCTTATTACAGGGTGCTGTATTTCCAACAGGAAGCCATAAACCCAGACAGTTGTACTCACCTCTCCTTCCCATATGTACGGCACATGAAAATATTTTTTCATCTTGCCAATTATTTTTCACACTAGGAGGTTGGGCTGCTCATCTTCAGTACTTCTGTGTTAGTCTGTGTGATACTTCAGTTTGTGTTGTCCTGTTTTATGTGGCAGTGTGTCACTAAAGATCCCAGTGATTATCTCTTTGTACAAGCCAGCCAGCACTATGGCCTCTGCTCTATGGCCAAATTGCAATCGAGCAGTTCCAGTTTCCCAAACTGTGAAGTATGAAGGAACTGAGTGGCATCAAGCTTTTCCTCTTATTTTGTCATTTGGGACCCCTGGTGGCCTAGTGGTTAGGATGCAGCACTCTCACAGCTGCAACCCAGGTTCGATTCCCGGTCCCCCGGGCAGATGGAGCTCGTTAGCCCTGTGAGGCCATCCATCTATGAGAAGGTCACTCTAAACAAACCTACGTCCTGAGGACCTCACTGCCATTGTCCAAGCTTGCTTGGCCCTGGCAGATGAGCCTTAGGATTAAAGGGTGGGCTCAGTTCAGCACATGCTGTGTCTCACCTAAGAAATCCATTGCGCAGGCTGGAAAGGTAAAAGACCTTTCCCAAAATCTTCGTTTGCGAAGACTGGCCATTATTTTGTCATTACTTTGCAGTAGTTATGTCCCCCTCGAATGTATCCAAACTCCCTCAAACTCTGTATCCAAGGGTTTCCTCTCATTTTTCTAAAAGTATAGAGGAAAGCTGAGATGGAATCAATTGCTATATTTACTCATTTTCCCCTCTTAGGATTTATCATTGACAGCTTCATGCTACATATCACATGAAAATATAGACAGATCTGTATCTCAAAGAGCTTATTATGCTCCTTCTGCAGAAACAATTCATTGGGAAATCCTTATACCTTCACTAAAGTTTTGGTGTCTGCCTTTCTCTGTGTTCTGGAAGCTGGTACCTAAATTTACACACACAAATGGGTCAGGTACATTACCAGTGCAAGCAGGACTGAAACTATCAAAGCCTTTGTAACTTTACATGCATATAGCTGTGAGGAATGTAAACTTATTTTGTGACATAAAGAGATGGAAAAAGAAGGCTCATCTTATAGCACATGCCTTAATAAAAAACATTTGTGCATGTGTTTACTTCCCAAGCAGCAGCACAGTAGCGAGAGACTATCTGATTAAAAGCCTCCATCCTGCAATTCCCAATATTAGAATCAATCATAGAGCACTGTATACATGACTCGTTGCATTTCCTGTCGTGTGCTCACATGCAGATGTTTTTCATCATTTATTGCTAATAGTGAGTATGTTTTAAAATTTTCTATGGATTTTTGTGGCATTTTGTATGTTTAAACTTTTCAAATGTAGAATTGGGATGATTATGTATTTTGTCTGAGGGA